AGACGGGGTTTCACCATGTTGACCAGGATGGTCTCGATCTCTTGACCTCGTGATCCACCCGCCTCGGCCTCCCAAAGTGCTGGGATTACAGGCTTGAGCCACGGCACCCGGCCTAATCCATCTTTTTTTTAATAGTACATTTTTGTTCTTTGCTATTTATTATCTGTCTTATGTAATAAGAAACTTTGTTTTGTTTATTGCTGTCTGTCAATGCCTAGAATGATACATAAGAGCTGCTAAGTAAAGATTTATGGAATTGGGCTGGATTCAGTGGCTCATACCTGTGATCCTAGCACTTTGGGAGGCTGTGGTGGGAGGATTGCTTGAGGCTGAGGTTGGGGAGGATTGCTTGTGGTGGCACGTGCTTATAGTCCCAGCTGCTTGGGAGGCTAAGGTATAAGAATTGCTTGTGCCCTGCAGTGAGCAATGATCATGCCACTATACTCCAGCCTGGGTGACCAAGTGAGACGCTGTCTAAAAACAAAAACCACCTTTTTTTAGTATATGTGCTGCCGAAGCGAGCACATATACTAAAAAAAGGTGGTTTTTGTTCTTCACATGTACCCCAAAACCTAAAATACAATTAAAAAAAAACAAAAAACCAAAAAGAAAATGTTTGCAGACTCAACAATGAAAGAATAGTTAATAATTGCCTCATTTTAAATTGGATTAGTTTATGTGATTAACCAATCACTTATTAAACTATTTGTAAGTGCTAACAGAACCGAAAATCTCTCATGTTCCTACACCTCAGAGATGGGAGATGTTCCTCCTAGACTCGTTTCTCTACTTTTTCCAGTCTGGACAAGTTGTTTTTTAGGCTCCCTGTACACAGTCATCCAAGGACGTCCCTTTAACATCATCCTTGGATTCCTTGTATTTCTTTTCTATTTTGGATTTCCTTTTTGATGATCTTGGGCCTTCTTCCTTGATTTACTCCATTGTAAAGTAGCTCTTTGAGAAGTTATGTATCAGAGGAACATTTAAAACTTGCGTTCTGAAAATTTTTGATCTTTATCCTTTTTTATAGTTCAACTGACTATTCATTCAGTTTTAGTGTTTGAGAAGTCTGAAGTCATTTGAATCCTGATCTTTTGTATGTAGTCCATGTTTTCCTCTGGAAACTTAACACACAGTGGCCATCAAATCTGGAATCTTGACATGACTATATATGAAATGGCTTACTGGTGTTACATTATTATACATGGTAACATAATAATACGTGTGTTTTGATACTTAATGGGCACTCTGCAGAAACATTTTTGGTCCCAGTGTTTTGAAATTTCATGATGATGGGCCTAGCATGGATGTTTTTCTTTCGTTTTGGTAGGTATTTATTGAGCTCTTTTGATTTTAGAGACTAGAGTATTCAGTTCCAGGAAATTCTCATTGCTTTCTTTATTCTTTGCACCTTCTTCATCTTCTTTCTCTGGACTCCTTTATTTATATCTTGGGACTCCTGGATTGATTTTCTTATCTTTTCTCCACTTAGACTCATTTTTATTGTTTAGTTCTACTTTGAGAGATTTACATAACTGTAGCATCCAATCCTTTTGTACATGTTTATTTTAAATTCAAGCTACTCTGCCTTGGAATATTCTCAATCCAAAGGAGAATATACAAAAGGGTTAACACTAGAATTGTCTATGTTCCACCCCAGAGAAAATAATGTTGATTGCTCAGAGTAAGGTCATATGCTACTCAAAAATTAGCTCTTTATTTGATTATACTAGTAACTTAGACTTCGTTATACTTAGCCACCTTGTCTCCTGCATTATAATTTAATCAGAGGAAACAGTTCTACTACATTTTTAGGAAGATCTCAGATTTAAAATGACAACATTTTAATTTGAATTAAAATTATCCCTTTGGTGGATTATCTACCAAAAAAAATACTTCCAAGCTATCTTTCATTGTATGTTCATACAGAATGTAAACAGTTTAATACTAACCTGAGCTCTATATATACATATATGTATATATTCTCTCTCATATTTGTGTGTGTGTGTGTGTGTACACACACACACACAGTGGCCTATATATTTTGTATATATGTGTGTGTATGTGCATGTATATATATATATATATATATATGCATATACATATGCACACATAGCAATGACTGTGTGTAAATACATGTGTGTGTGTCATATATATATATATATATATATATATGAGATGGGGGTCTCACTTTGTCACCCAGACTGGAGTACAGTGGCACAATCATAGGTCACTGCAACCTTGAACTCCTAGGCTCAAACAATCATCCTGTCCCAGCCTCCTGAGTATCTGGGACTATAGACACATACCACTGTGCCAGGCTAATATTTAAATCATTTTGTAGAGATGGAGTCTTGCTTTGTTGCCCAGCCTGGTCTTGAACTTCTGGCTTAAAATGATCTTCCTGCCACGGCCTGCCAAAGTGCTGGGATTACAGGTGTAAGCTGCAGCACCTGGCCTATCTGAGCAAAATTTAAATAGGAAGGCGAATTCTTTGAAAAGAAATTCATATGTCTTCAAGGTGAATGTGAATTATTTTTGGTTATTCTTCCTTTTGGATTTTTCCATGCCGCCACAGTGGTTCTACTTACATGGACATTCAGATCTGAGACATTTGTTCCATTTCTAATGTTGTATTTTAATTTTAAAATTGTTTGGTAGTACTGTTTTCTCAGTCTTGAGACAGACTCTGAGCCAATCTATGCTAGATGGGTTTTGCTTATCAAAAATGATAGTGAAGCCAAATTAACACTAACCAAAACTATTTTGCCTGTAGTCTTGGGCATACTATAAATACTTACTATCAAAGGGAAATAATATTGCTTTGAAGTTTTTCATTTGAGAATATGTAGAACTTTTTGTTTGAAAAAGGAAAGGTTGCCTTAGAAAGTCTTTTAGCATGAACATACGATATGTAGTACATCGGCCATTTATCTTAAAGGTGTATAATATCAGTTGATATAAGCATGTTTGAAAAACCTGCCCTGACACTTTAACTTTTCAGATTAGAAAGAGAGTATTTCTCCAAAAACAAGAAACTAAATGAAGAGATCGAGGAACAGAAGAAAGTCATTATAGACCTTTCAAAGAGACTCCAGTACAATGAAAAAAGTTGCAATGAATTACAGGAAGAACTAGTAATGGTAAGGATAAAAAAGAAAACTCTGTGGTAATCACTTTTCTGGGTGGTATTTGATGTATAGCAGGGTTTTTCCTCACTACATTCCATGAGTTAATAGTATGAAAGTAGTTTTAATGACATTGATAACAAAATTTTTCAAAACTGGAAATGCTGATTACATCAAAGATATATATAATGAAACCTCTCTGATTTGGAATAATTGGGGAAACTAACTGAATTAGTAAAAACTCTTGACTTATAGAATTTAAAAAATGTATTCAAGGGTTTTTCTTATCTTGCATAAAACAGTATTACTTAGATTAAGGGTGATTAGAGTTTGTAATTAATACAACTGATGATTTCATAGACTTCCTTTTGTAATTGTTTTGTACCTGGTCACTCTCTCTCCATTCCCCAGTAATCTAGCTTTTACACTATAAGTAAATTTATCTTTGTAAAGTATTGATCTGTTTTTGTCAATCTCTCTTTATTCAAAACTCAGCATCTCAATGTCTGTCTCCCTGTTGTTTTCAGAATAATGGCCAGCTTCTTGTGTAATCTCAGGACCTTTTCTTTTTGTCTTTGTGTTAACTTTTCTAGCCTCTTCTTTTGCGTTTTCGTTCTATCTATCTTGCTTCAGCCACATTAGAATGTTCCTTGCCTTCTAAACACACCTTTTCTTTTCTTTGTTGTTTTAAAGATGGGATTTCACTCTTGCCCAGGGTAGAGTGCAGTGGTGCAACCCTTGCTTACTGTAATCTCCAACTCCTGGGCTCAAGAGACCCTTTTGTCTCAGTCTTCTGAGTAGCTGGGACTGCAGATATGTGCCACCACGCTTCTTACAGAGAAGAGGTCTCGCTATGTTGGCCAGGCTGGCATCAAACAAGTGGCCTCAAGTGGTCTTCCTGTCTTGGCCTCCCAAAGTGCCAGGATTACAGGCATGAACCACTGCACCTGGCCTAAATACATGTCTTCATATATTCTTATTTTTATTCAGATTATTCATTTCTTTGACCTGTGATGACTAAAATGCTCCTTTTCTTTTCCATAACCAGATTTCTATACATCCTGTGATGCCCAGCTCTGATATTTTGCAATCTGTGAAGCTTTCTGTGATTCTGTCTTCTGCACTCTCATCCACCTTAAGTTAAAATTCTGTCCCTCCTCAACAGTATTTCTTTAGTATTTAGTTCAGCATCTTTATCATAATACTCACGGAAATTTGATGTGTATTATGTCTCCCAAGAGAATGTGAATGCATTGAGGTTAGCTTACTTCATTTTATATACCTAGATTCCACTATAGTACTTGGCTCAATAAACAATTGTCTGATGGATTTATTGGGTTGATGGAGAATCTTCCTCTCTACAGTTTGCTGGGGACCCCCCCAGGGAGGGTGTAAAGTTTATGGTAATACCCTATTACTTCTTTGTCTTGTTCTACACATACATACTTTCCTCAGAGGCTTGACTACTTCACTTTCAGTTATATACCAAAAGTTTTAGTGATTTTAGTTATTGAGGACAATGTGTATTATTTACCTTCTTGAAAAAGGTGGTCCTGGGTTATACTAGGAATTGGTCACCAAATCAATGCTGCCCAGATAGAAAGCTAGTAATGGGATACAGTTAAAACTCTTCAGTGTTTTTTCAAATGATCCAATATTATATGCATTTTCCATTTACCTCAAGATATTTGCTGTGTTCCGATTCAGGAATTGGTATCATTGCTTGTTCTAGAAATCAGTTTGCAGTTTGGTATTTTGAATGTGGTGTTTTAGAAAGTTAAGAGCCCTCTGTGTAGTCTACTGTAGCATCTGTTCACTGTAAGGTGTTATCCTAAATTTCACGGGCTCTTTTAGCTCTTACCTCCTAGTTCAGGAAGATGAATCAGTAGTGGAGAAAAATATGTCAGGGTCATTAAGCTGAGTACTGCATTCACTCTGCTTGCTTATTAGTCATTGCACTCAATAGTTTGGAAAATAAGTCAGAGTTATAACTAAGAATGGAAGAGTTAAGACATAATCACCAATATAGATTGCATGAATTTTCTTAATTCTGGGTTTCCAGCACTTTAGTGACTAGATACAAAATAAAATGAGACTGGCTTAACTCACCACAGAACGTATGGGTATTTAGTGATTAAGAAATTTTACTTCGTACCAACAGCTTTTTTCCCTAAAACTTTTACAGAGTGATAGTTGGTCTAAAATAAGGCAAGTGGCAGCTCACCAGCAGCCTTTATTTGCTTGTTCGGACCTTCTGCACTCATTTTATTAATCCACTGAACACTATTGTTTTGATAATGATGCTGAAAATTGTAGGCTAATTGTTTCTTCAAAGCTTGATAGATGGCTAAAAGCAGTTGCAGATCTGTGAATAATGTAATAGTTCCTTGCTGAATGAGATGTTTGAAAAATTTACTCAGGTTGCCAGACTAAGTGATATACAGTTTACCATACCTGGTGGCTCAGGCTATTAATATGTTCCTCTTAATTTTTTAATTTCTCTTAAACTCAGCTTTGCATCTTATTTCTTCCATCTTTGTCTTCTCTATTTTCTTTCCTATTAGCTTTTAAAAAACTTTTTCTGTTTTATGCCTATTAGAGCGGTTGTTCTTTATTTCTTTACCTGACCATAATATGAAATTTAAGAGCTATTTAATGAAAATGTCTTTAAATAGTAAGTACAATGTTTTTCTTTTTATAAACTACTATTCTATCACTTTTCCTAAATATAGTTTTTCTTGTGTATATTCCTTTCTTGACTTTTCTCAGTTGATTAGTGGCCTTTGGGGGGAAAGAAGGTTTGAAAAATTTCTCTTGAAAGATATTTCTTTCAAATTAAAATTTTAAACTGTAAGAAATGAAGATTTTCTAGTTCTGCATTCACAGTCTGGCTATTGTTTATGCTTTGAATTCTTAATTGTTGTTGACTGAAGAGAGAATGACTTATGAGGAAGATTTCCCTTTTGCTTTTGGAAATGAAATTGTTTTAATGACATCCCATGATTTTATGTACCCTAGTGTGTCTTTTCCACAGTTATATTTCTTTTGAGCATAATAGTATCAGTGTTTTATAGACTATATATAGGAAGCATAAATTACCTACAGGTAATTTTTCTTTCCCTTTCAGGTACCAGCTTGTTTTCTAGTTTAGGTTATGTTCATGGTCATTATTTGAGTCTTGGTCTTTATTTTCTCTGTTACATTGGAAAAGAACGTTAAAGTCACTATCCTCTGTAGGTTTACTAGTAAGGTGAAGGTGTTATTAATAAGATACAAAGACTTGAGGAAATTTTGAGACTTAGAGATAACTTTGTGTTAGTACAGCATAGCCTTATGCTGTATCATGGGCTGGTTGCAGCGGCAGAGCTGTTAGAGGCTTTAGAGCCCAGGATAAGAATGTGCTAATAAACCAGTTGGAAAGTAATAGCTCCCCTGTTTTGAGAAAGATAATATATAAATATAGAACATAATTTTGGAAAAATCTAAAACTGGTATTCTGTCTTTTGTGAATATTTAATAAATATAAACCCAGCCAACTTTAATTGCACTTTTATTTATGTATTTTTAATTGACACAAAATAATTGTGTTAAAACATATTTATAGGGTAATTGTGATGTTTTGATATATACAACATAAAGCGATCAGATCTGGGTAATTACTATGTTATCTCAAACATCTATCATTTCTTTGTATTCTAATTATACTTTTATATTAATGAAATTACTTCTATTCAATGTATAGATTTAAAAGATATAATTAATAAATTAATGGTATATAATGACTATTTTGAATGTCATAGAATTAGTAAAATTTCAACAGGACATTTAAGGACTTAACAAATTTATTTTCATGTTTGAAATAAATGTGAACACAAGATGTGAACACAGAATATGAAATTTGACAGAATTTGACTATAAATAGTTTTGATTAGAAATTGAGCTTTTCGTTTCAAAACCTATGAATTTAATAATGACTTAATCAACTGCTAAATAAAACTGAATTTCTAGCTTAAGCTGCTAAGTGATCAAGCTTATTAAAGTCCATCTGAGACTCAACAGATCCAGTTGGGTCTTTTAGACATTACTGTGAGTTTTTATATATCTGCCTCTGTTGAAGCAGGGGAGCTGTCATTTTCAAATTCATATTATTAGAACTTGCTTTGTGCTTTCTTCAGTGAAATTTTCTTAAGTCCATTATTTCTTGAGATTTGTTTTCTGCCACTCAGTAATATTTAGTTACAGCTCTAGAAGAGACTTTATATTGAAAAGGGAATTCTAGTTCTCGTGAGGTTTTGCTCAAAGAATGTTTTATTCTCTAAAGAACTTGTGATTGAAAATGGTCAAGTGTATATTTTTTCTCAATACTTTAGGGGGCTTAACTGATTATATAATAATAATGATTGCCAGCATCAAATATGATTTAGCAAAGTGCTTTGATGGTTATGCTTTGTGGTGAAGGTAATATTTCTTGATAATATTTTTACTTCCAATGAACTATTAGGTTTGCTTTAGAAGAACATGTTTCTGATTTTGTAGGAGGTTTTCAAAACTAATGGGCTGGTAAATATTCTATTCTGAATTTTTACTAAAAAAAAGATTGACTCCTGTTTTTCACCAAGAATAAGAGTAGTATTTATACATGGGTATTGTTTTTGCTAATATAAATATCACTTTCTGTTTCTCTTAGTGGCCCTTAAATTTTAATCCTAGTAAATAATTCATTGAGTACGTGTCTTTGTGTATTTAAATATTCCTTTTGGGAATTTGTGGTATAGGCATAAAGCTTTTGCATTAAGTTTTTTGAAATTTATTTCTATATAAGTTAGTAAATTTTGGTAATCCAAATCTCATTTTTAACCTGGGGAAAAAAAATGGTGTTGTATATATGTGTGTGAGAGAGAGAGCACGAGATCAAGAGAGAAATTTAGATGTTTAGGCCCATATTCAGATTGAATGGTAGCATCTGCTGAAAAATAAACTGATTGTTAAAGCTAAGTAAAGAAGGGTAACATTTC